CTATAAAACATACCCTGACCCTAACCCCAAACTAACCCTTACCCTAACTTTAATTAAAAACAAAAAACACGTGACTGGACACGGCTTTAGACGTCCCCCAAATTTGGTATATTCCTAGACTGTACTTTTTCATCTTGTAATATATTTCGCCACGGATTTGTAACGAAAATGCACTGTTTGGATCAATTTCTAATAATTTATCTAAATCTGCAAGTGATTCTTCATATTTTTCTAATCTAAAATAAGTTGTTCCACGAATTCTTAATGCTTCTGCATTGTTCGGTTCAATTTCTAATAATTTATCTAAATCCGCAAATGATTCTTCATATCTTTCTAATCTAAGATAAGTTGTTCCACGAATTCTCAATGCTTCTGCATTATTTGGTTCAATCTCTAACGATTTATTCAAATCTGCGAATGATTCATTGTATTTTCCTAACGTCTTATATGTTGTTCCACGAATTCTTAATGCTTCTGCATTGTTTGGTTCAATCTTTAGCGACTTATTCAAATCTGCAAGTGATTCATTGTATTTTCCTAACATAATATAAGTTTTCCCACGATTTATTAATGCTTCTGCGTTATTTGGTTCAATCTCTAACGATTTATTCAAATCTGCGAGCGATCTTTTATATTTTGTTAACATTAAGTAAGTTTTTCCACGACTTCTTAATGCTTCTGCGTTATTTGGATCAATCACTAGCGATTGATTCAAATCGGCAAGTGATTCACTGTACTTTCCTAACATAATATAAGTTTTTCCACGATTTATTAATGCCTCTGCGTTATTTGGTTCAATATATAACGATTTATTCAAATCTGCGAGCGATTCTTCATATCTTTTTAACATTAAGTAAGTTTCTCCACGACTTATAAATGCTTCTGCGTTATTTGGCTCAATATTTAACGATTTATTCAAATCTGCAAGTGATTCACTGTATTTTCCTAACATGACATAAGTTTTTCCACGATTTATTAATGCACCTGCGTTATCTGGTTCAATCGTTAACGATTTATTCAAATCTGCAAGTGATTCTTCATATCTTTTTAATATGCGATACGTCTCTCCGCGACTTTCTAGGGCTTCTGCGTTATT